GGCCCATGTAAATAACACAGTCAAGGCAGCCTCGTACCGTCTCTACATGCTACGACGACTTAAGTCACTTGGGACACCCACGCCAGAGCTGAGGACCATCTACAACGCCTTTATTCTCCCCAAACTAACGTATGCGTCACCAGCCTGGTCGTCTTCTCTCAACTCCACCCAACAACGTCAGCTAGAGAAGGTACAGAAAAGGGCCTGCAGAATCATGCTCGGCGCAGAATACTCCGGCTACACCAACGCTCTCTCCACCCTGGAAATGCCATCCCTCAGTGACCTCCACCACCAAGCACTGGAAAGGTTTGGCAGCCAACTATTGCACCACCCTCGTCATCGCCACCTCCTGCCACCGGCAGCCCCCCACCTACCTCGCTCAGTCCGCCACTACAACAAAATTCAGCCCATAAGAGCCCGCACTGATAGATATAAGAATAGCACCATCCCATCTATTATTAAAATAATAAGCAACGCCTGATTTATGTACTGTACAGCCCCGTAAATGTATTCAATGCATATTATATCATTATGTCTAAATCAAATGTAAGTGTATATTTTCAGTCACCGGCTGCAACTCTATTAATAAACCGTTTATTATTATTATTATTATTATTATTATTATTATTATTATTATTATTATTATTATTATTATTATTATTACACACACACACACACACACACAGGAGGTCAGCTGGAGCTCCTCACATAACCCAGACCTGACGGGCCAGTGAGCCAGGCACCGTGACAGACCCTCATAACAAGATGCATCAAAGGCACCCAGAGTTTTACAGCAATATGTTGACCCTCTGAAGGTTTAACCATTTTGGAACATTTTGCAGCTAGCAGGGGTTGAAGCTGTTCCTCTGCAATATATCTGGCCTCTGAAACCTGAACCGACTAAAGTGGTTATTGGTCCATTTTATGGGGCAATATCTTGTCTTGTAATCAATAACGATTTCAACCGGTTTGCAGTGGTTGAAGCAGTTGTGCAATATTGCTATCCTGTGAAGACTTAATATCGTCAAGCGATCCTGCACTGAGTGAAGCTTTTCTGCAACAATACTGACTGACCTGGGTGAAGCTTGAACACCCTCCAAGCAGCTCACAACGCACTGAAAGTTTACTACAACACTATGCAACTTAGTGCAATCTTACAACAGTATCAAAGCAAGATGGAGAGCGGAAGTAATCAACTCTTGTTTTTAACGCCGCCCACCCTCCACCTTCCTTCCCCTGAGCTACCCAGGAGGTCAAGGACACCTCCCTCCACTCCTCCCTCGGTATCATAATTCAGTATAAAATATTACAACATAATGGGTCGAGATAATGGACGGTGGTAACAGAAGACCAGGCAGTGCAGGGCAGGCAGGTCCACGGTAGGGAGGGGAGGGGAGAGGAGGGAGGGGAGGGGAGGGGAGGGGAGGGGAGGGGAGGAGGAGGGAGGGGAGGATAGGGAGGGGAGGTAGGTCAGGCCAGGACAGGTGGTGGGTTGTTGTTGTTGTGAAGGGAGGGGGTGGGGTGGCGACCTGCGGTATACAGGAAAGGTTATTCTCGACCCCTGCACTAATGTGATGAGCCCCAGTGTGTGTGTGTGTGTGTGTGTGTGTGTGTGTGTGTGTGTCTTCTCAACCCAGGTTTTTCTACTGTCTGTTCTTTTCTCTCTCTCACCCCTTCCTTCCTTCCTTCCTTCCTTCCTTTCTCTCTCTTTCCTTTGTTTCTCTCGTCTGTGAAATACTTTTAAAATTTTTACTCTTTCATTTCCATTCTTCCTTCCTCTCTCTCTCTCCCTCTCTTTCAGATTTCTTTCTACTTTGTTTTGCTCTTACCTTTTTCTGTCAACTATACTCTCCCTGTCTCTCTGTCTGTCTGTCTGTCTGTCTCATCTACTAATTCAATATCAATGGCTACAGCACTAATTATATCATAAACTTAGACCAACCAGGAGTCGCCCACGTCAGGTTTAGCCAGAGTCCCTGATTCACATAAGGTCGTAGACGGCAAACATTCCTCGTAACTGTTGGTGATCAGAAGGCGTCTATCTTGTCTTGCTGACAATATCTAAAACACCAAAAGTAATTACTAACAAAAATATCTCCCCAATTATTAGTACACTGAGATTCTTACCTTAATTAGATCTATCCGTTTACTTAATACCTGATAAAATTAAGTTAATATATTTTGTAGTTAATTTTCGGATTACGTGAAGATGATACACCTCAATTTGAAGTATTTCACCTGACGATTAAACCACTTAAACTAACCTAACCTAACCTAACCTAACCTAACCTAACCTAACCTCACCTCCTCACGTAGCATTAAGGTCTTTAAACGTAACGTAATCTGACCTAACCTAACCTGACCTGAGGCTGTCTAATTTTCGGGTAAGCTTCATAAATGTTTGAATAATTTTTGAGAACACCACAGCCATCAGAAAAGTTTACGAATTTTTTTCTTCATTTTCTCACAATATGTTCTTATCATTATAGTAACTATTTTAAAAGAGGCGACATTTACAAGAACTTAATAGAACCTAACCTAACCTGACCTAACCTAACCAACCAAATAAACCTACCTAACCTTAACCTAATTTCAAGACGTGGACCCCAACCATATTACACAGAAAGGACTTATTTTGATATCAGGTACCAATAAAAAACTTTGTATAGGCGTCATGTATAATTTTACTCTTTTTTTTGACGTGAGAGAACGGTAGATCTTCTGGAGGAATGATTACGGTTAATAATTTTAATTCTTCACATACAAATCACGTAGAGACATCATTTTAATGTCATATGATCAATTTTTCACCGTGTTTTACCCAGCGAATTTCCTTCATTCTTTATACCCTGCCCACTACAGGTGATTTATGAACATAGATAGAGAAAAACTAAAAAAATATTTATAAACTAAATAGTTGTCTTATCGTTTTTATTTCTCACTAACAACCAAAGAGCAACTGTGGAAAAAATTTACGTAATCGACAACTGGTGATAGCTGTGTCCTCATAAATTACCAACGTGTGAACCATTAGGAGCTGGACCCAGGTGAGTATTGAGCGATGAGGTAGTATCAAATCATTGTGGCAGGTTAATGTTGGGTCACGTGACTCCGGGTCTCGGGTGCGGAGAGGGAAAGATATTAGGTAATATTAAGTTGGAAAGGAATAGTTCAGTTAGGTTAGGTTAGGTTAGGTTAGGTTAGGTTAGGTTAGGTTAGGTTAAATCGAAGAAGATAATTCAGACTCTCTCTCTCTCTCTCTCTCCACACACACACACACATTTACATATGGATGGTCACGAAACTGATTTCCATACTTCACCGCGCTAAAGGTTGTTTTGGTACCACGACACACCTGTGGAAGGACAGGGAGGCTAAGATAGGGAGATACAAGGAGTAGGAGGTTGAAGTGAGCAGGGGAGGTTAAAGAGAAGGAGCAAGGAATATGATTATAGTGGGAAGGATGGGGGAGAATGGGAGGCGAGCAGGGGGGAGGCGAGCAGGTTGATGCTGGGGGACGAGTAGGGGGAGGCTGGAAGAGAGTAGGGAGAGGCTGGAGGGGGCGAGCAGGAGGAGGCTGGGGGACAAGCAGGGGAAGGATGGGGGACGAACAGGGGGAAACTGGGGGAGAGCAGGGTGGGTAGGGTACTAGGAGAGGGTGATGGACGATACACGAGGCCATTTAAAAGCAGTAAAAGGTCGTGTAAATGCCAAGCCCTGAGTCCATCTGGTGTCGACCGCAATAACACCTGGAGGTCGAATATTTTGCTCCATTTTTTTTATCTATTATACCACATTAAACCTTAAACCAATCTTAAACCTTCATTAAAGTGTCAAAAAGTGTTGATGACCCGATGCTTATTATTACAGGGTTATATTATGTATCTTTAAGGTTTACGAGTATCGGTGTGTAAATCAGTAGAGCTAATGAAGGTAATTATGAATATTGCACTGCATGATTTCACAGCACCAGCAAAATGATAATGGCTTAGTATTATCATGGGAATTATCCAGCTGTGGCCTTAATGTGAGCGTATTGACCAATGTGTAACCATTATGACCTCAAGGCTCCTCTGATGACATAACCTCCCCTCCCCTCCCCTCCCCTTGATGATACTCTAGGTAGCAACCCACTTCTCCCTGGCCAGACTTTTGATATTTAGAAACCAAGAAGTTTTAAAAAGGTTTCTGAATCAAATGTTGACTCTAGCTCTTGTGAGAAATGAGGTTGTAACTTACCAACAGTTCTGTAACTTTCTGTAATCATACTGTAGTTAGGGAGTTCAGAGCAGGATGCAGATGACACTATGGCATTTACCCAGCTGTTATGACTGCCACCACGGATACCATGGACTGTTTAGATTTCAGTTTTAGCCTTGACCTTCAGCCTGACCCACAATACGAAACAATAGGTGTTCTACTCGATATATGAACCTACCTGACGCTTTTTGTTTAATACAGTACAAGCCATTCCTGTCAGGGGTAAGATAGGTGAACACCATTCCTGTCAGGGGTAAGATAGGTGAACACCATTCCTGTCAGGGGTAAGGTAGGTGAACACCATTCCTGTCAGGGGTAAGGTAGGTGAACACCATTCCTGTCAGGGGTAAGGTAGGTGAACACCATTCCTGTCAGCGGTAAGGTAGGTGAACAGGTGATGGTTCCCCAATTCATAATATTCAGCAGTTAGTAGGCGATTTAGTGACTTAGTTCACCCAAGGGCTGTTACATCACTGGCAAGACCCCCCGAACCTGATGGTGTACAAGTGTTAATGTACAAGTATTAGTGTACAAGTGTTGATGTACAAGTGTTAGTGTACAAGTGTTAATGTACAAGTATTAGTGTACAAGTGTTGATGTACAAGAGTTAGTCGTGTGTGGAGAGTGCGTGGTTGTCAGTCGTGTGTATAGAGTGCGTGGTTGTCAGTCGTGTGTATAGAGTGTGTTGGAGGAGTACCTACCAAGGAACAACAATAGGTCGAGGAGGAGGTACTACTTACTGTGTCTCCGTGGCGTATACGTGGTACTTGGCCTTGAAGGAGTACCGGAACAACTGTGGAAGAAGAAGAAAACCTCCTGAGTGACGCAAATGAGTGAGTGACGCAGATTCATGAGTGACGCAGATTCATGAGAAACACAGATTTATGAATAACGTAGCAGAATGAGTGACGCAGATTCATGAGTAACACAGATTTATGAATAACGCAGTTGAATGAGTGACGCAGATAAGAGACACAAATGAGTGAGTGACGAGTGACAGTAGATAATGAATGTTTACCATGGTCAACACTCACCACTGCTAGCCTCATACACACTCCATGAAAGAGATTCCCAGATTTATACAGTGATATAAGGATACAGTTATGATAATACAGTGGCAAGTAATATAAGAATACATTAATATAAATACAGTAATGATAATACAGTAATAGTGAAGATGCAGGAGGATACAGTATTGATAAATGTACTCCATTATTAGTGGAAGTTGAGACGAGGACTGCAATTACAGGTTCCAAATTAATTACCTTTCAAGATATGAGGTGAAGGTTAGTTGTTCTCAGTAATTACAGTAATTAGTAAAGGGAAGATCAGTTAATTGAATCAAATGAAGGTATTAATGACTTATTATCAACAGGTAACAACAGTGACACCTGAGACACTACCTCGTTAACGTAAGAGTCAGCATGGTCTTTAAAGTTGTGGGTTTAGGGTGATTAAGTCATGGGTATAGGGGGATTAACGTCATGGGTTTAGGGTTATTAACGTCTTGGGTTTAGGGTGATTAACGTCATGGGTTTAGGGTGATTAACGTAATGGGTTTAGGGTGATTAACGTCATGGGTTTAGGGTGATTAACGTCATGGGTTTAGGGTGATTAACGTCATGGGTTTAGGGTTATTAACGTCGTGGAGGGGATTAACGTCGGGTTTAGGTTAACGTCTTGGGTTTAGGGGATTAACGTCGTGGGTTTAGGGTGATTAACGTAATGGTTTTAGGTGATTAACGTCATGGGTTTAGGTGATTAACGTCATGGGTTTAGGTGATAACGTCATGGGTTAGGTGATTAACGTCATGGGTTTAGGTTATTAACGTCGTGGGGTGTATGGTGATTAATGTGGGTCTGAAGAAGAAGTGGATAGAGAGGGAGGAGTTCCATCTTCCCAAATGAAACAGTAGGTTGGGGGCTTGATGGAGTGAGGACGTGCCCAGCCTCTCTACACCCCCTCACCTCCTTACCCTCACTCTCCTACCCACCCACACTCTCCCACTCTCACTGTCACAATTCATTATTATGACACTCTCACCCCACTACTCTCACTGTCAGACCTTCACTACTCTCACTGTCGACCTTCACTACTTTTTCTGTCAGACCTTCACTATTCTTACTGTTAGACCTTCACTATTCTCACTGTCAGACTTTTTACTACTCTTACTGTCAGACCTTCACTATTCTCACTGTCAGACCTTCACTACTCTCATACTGTCAGACCTCACTACTCTTACTGTCAGACCTTCACTACTCTTACTGTCAGACCTTTCACTACTCTCACTGTCAGACCTTTCACTACTCTTACTGTCAGACCTTCACTACTCTTACTGTCAGACCTTCACTACTCTTCACTGTCAGACCTTCACTACTTACTGTCAGACTCACTACTCTCACTGTCAGACCTTCACTACTCTTACTGTCAGACCTTTCACTACTTTTACTGCGACCTTCACTACTCTCACTGTCAGACCTTCACTACTCTTACTGTCAGACCTTTACTACTCTCACTGTCAGACCTTTCACTACTTTACTGTCAGACCTTCACTACTCTCACTGTCAGACCTTCACTACTCACTGTCAGCCTCACTACTTCACTGTCAGACCTTTTCTTCTCACTCTCACTGTCAGACCTTCACTACTCTCACTGTCATACTTTTTCATCACTTCACTATTACCTTTCTGACTTTTTACCTTTCTGTCACACCTTCACTACTCTCACTGTCAGACCTTTCACTATCTTACTGTCAGACCTTCACTACTCACTGTCAGACCTTCACTACTCTTACTGTCACACCTCGCTACTCTCACTGTCAGACCTTCACTACTCTTTACTGTCACACCTTCACTACTTACTGTCAGACCTTCACTACCTCACTGTCAGACCTTCACTACTCTCACTGTCACACCTTCACTCTCACTGTCAGACCTTCACTACTCTACTGTCACACCTTTCACTCACTTTTTACTGTCACACCTCACTACTCTCACTGTCAGACCTCACTACTCTCATCATCACACCTTCCTATTTCTCTGTCAGACCTTCACTACTCTTACTGTCAACCTTCACTACCTCACTGTCAGACCTTTCACTACTTCACTGTCACACCTTCACTACTCTCACTGTCAGACCTTCACTACTCTTCATCACACCTTCACTACTTTACGTCAGACCTTCACTACTCACTGTCACACCCTCGCTACCACTGTCACACCTCACTACTCTCACTGTCAGACCTTCACTACTCTTACGTCACACCTTCACTACTCTCACTGTCAGACCTTCACTACCTCACTGTCACACCTTCACTACTCTTACTGTCACACCTTCACTACTCTCCCTGTCACACCCTCGCTACTCTCCCTGTCACACCCTCGCTACTCTCACACCCTCGCTACTCTCCCTGTCACACCCTCGCTACTCTCTCTGTCACACCCTCGCTACTCTCACACCCTCACTATTGTCCACACACACACTCACCTCACACATTACCACCACAATTCAGTCATTGTTATTTCCATATCTCTTAGTTGTATCTCCTTATGCCATCTGAATAACAAGAGTGAGAAGAATTGGTAATAGCAGAGAGGATAACAGGTACAACCATGCAAATGATCAGACAAGCATGGAATGTGGTATGAACATTCAATTTAGGTTACTTATCAAATCTATCCAATTGGACATTCAAAATTCCAAGATGGCGGCCATTTTTCTAAATGGCCGCCAAATTTGCTTAACCGAATTTTTTTTTTTTTTTACATATAATGACTTATTATTAGGCAATCTGTGTCTATTCCTATGTTTTAAAGCTGCAACAGATTATGATTGTTTGGGAACCCTCAGATATATCTGTTATGCATAAAGTAACGGTCCTGCACATACTTTTACTTCTTTTCCTACAAATCAGTGTAAGTGAGTCTTAGTTAAACAATCCACACACAGCAGTGCAAGTGAGACCAGGGCAGATATATTAACATCACTGTCCACAATCTTTCTTGCAAGAACACTTGGTCAGTTTTTGGCAGCTCGCTGTTATTGGTGGAAGGTCTGTCCAGTGTATTTGCCACATATCTTCATTCTTTTTCCAGACCCAGTTAGCAGGACTTGCAATGTCTGGTTGGGCTACTGTTGCCGGACCCCAAATCATTCCCCTTGATAGGCTGCACGCTTTGCTTTACATGTTCCTTAAGGGCAGACCGTTGACGCATAAAGCTGAACTAGACCTTTCATACATCACCACCACAAACCTTTCCAAGACACTGAGGTATTTTTCACTAACTGATGTAAGACACTGACTGAGTTTGGTGAAGGTGCTAGAAACCTCGCTAAACACATTCTATGTTTGCCATGCAGTCTTCTTACCTTTCCCACAAAAGGCTGACACAACATCACAACCACTGAATAAATGTGAAAATGTGATTCGAGTGGCTTTTTCAGGCCCTATGGCTACAACTAACTCATGAACAGGAATCCATCTTGTGTAAGCCCCTAGACCATAAGATATCTACATTTCTTCTTGACCAATTTCTCCTCGTGATGTGAACACAGGTATAGCTCTGACAATGATATCTGTGTCATTGGCTTTTATGATAACTCTTTTACTGCCTTCCAATACAGCTCGTCTTGCATGTACAAAGAGGCGAGTATCTGCCTCTTCATGGGAGCATGGAGTCAAGTCTTCTAGAGGCGTATCATGGTTGCTAATGGCATCTCCTCCCTTTATTACAATAATTGTGCATGGTGTAACAATTTCACACATCTTGTCCGCAAGGAAGTGAAAAAGTTCAGTCTTGTTATTGTCATCTCTTAGAAAGCTTCTCCAATTTGTTGGAACTTTGCTAGTTTCTGTCACCCTTCGACTGATACGTTGACCTCATTTTGACCTGGTTTCAGCCTTTAAACTGTCCTTTTTATAGACATCAGACACAACAGCCACCCTATTATATTTGGTACAATAAGATTCCAATTTTGGAAGAACATCTCCACTGGCTTATTCATTAAAAGTCTTTGTATGACTTAGGAAGAAGAAGGGCATTAATCAATGTTGAACCGTCTATGATGGCAGCAGCTGGTTCTGTGTCTAGCTTAGTCACATCAGCTTCAGGAATTTCAATTAACTGAGACTTTTGACAGGTATGAAGTTGACCGGTGTCACTCAGTGATGCAGGGGCAGACTGGTTCTCATGTTTGAAGAATTCTTGCAACTCACACTGTCTGGTCTGGCAAGAAATAAACAACCATGAAAACAAATGACAATCATCCTTCCGGAACTTCTTTGAACTGTCAGCAACGCGTTCATGTTTGCAGAAGTTTACCTTGTTTCTCCTGATTGTCTGGTAGAAAGAATTGTTCTCATTCATTTCCACCCCTGCATGAATGCCTGAAAAATTTCTTGGCCCCTTTGTAAGTGTGTACCAACCATTTCAATGAGGACAGGATCAGCAACGACCTTTGTGTCCACCACAATTAGGTCAGTTGCCTCCTCAGTCATACATATGAATTGGAGAAGTGATGAAGGAACTGCCTCTTCATTACTTCTATCATCAAGTTAGGAATTCTGACTTGTACTTGAGCATATCCTGCTGTAATATTGTTGCAGCCTTGGCCAAATGAACAGCTTCACTGTATTTGTCAACCTCAGCCAGGATGGAGCCTACATCCTCTTGGAATGCTCTCAAAACATCGCTTCCTTTATTGTGAGCTTCCACTTGAGGAATAGTGAAATCAATTGGTCCTTAAGTTTAGCAGAATGAACTTAAGGTGATTCGACACCAAGTTGTTAACGA